GTTTTTTAGTTTTTTTTTAAAAGTAAAATCACGGAGAAGCCTCCGCTTTGATTATGATTCAATATGATTTGAATATGAAAAGATGAACACACTAAATTAGAGAGCTTCCAAAATATTTACTTTCAAAAGAATCTAAATATTTGTTAAACTATATGTATGAAATTAAATTGAGGGTAATTTTTTGTCTTGATAATAAGAAAATATATAATTTTTTATTTACAAAAAATGATAACACTTCTGAATTTGAGCAGTGGTGATGAGTGCATGTATGGACTGAAGTGGTCCATAGGCTACCAACTCCCAAAGCCTAATATACGCTGCACTGAAGTGGTCCATCAAATGTTGCCACCTTCCATATGATTTGCCCATTTTTCAACTTTTCCACGTTACTTTTCAATGTCCCCCACCCCTGCCTTTACTTCCAAATATATAATCATTGTCTAAATATCAAGTTTGATTCCTTATTAATAATATAAACATTTTTTCTTTACCGAGAATGTTAAGATAATATAGATCAAAATAGAAATGAAATGGATCAATATCATTGATAATATAGTGATAAAACTGTCCCATCTTTAATTAGATATATTAGACTGAAAGTTTAAATATAGAGAAAATTATATTGAAAGCGTCAGCTTCAATGCAAATATCAGACAACATATTAAAAATAGAGTTAGTCTGATTTGGAGAATTAATATTCCTGTTTTTTGGCCAGTTGCAAAATTTAAATATAGAACAATTTCGAAAATATTTTGTGCTCTCCCTATTTTTTACCATTAGGATTTGCGTTAAATGCAATCATAGCGCAGAAAACTTTTATATTATTAATGTAACTTCACCTAATATAGACTATTTATTTATGACTTTTAATTAATTATTTTGTTAAATAAAATAAAATTTATAGATGAATAATTAATCTTTTACTATTCAAGTAGATGTTTATAATCGTAAGATTACAAACGAAAAAAATAGGAGACACGTCAATATCACTGCATGCAGTGCCATAACGCCACGTCATGCTCTAGACCATGCCTTTTTCTGGGTGTGTTCTAACTCTCCTACAAAATAAGGTCTTCCGAGTAGACGACCACGTCACCCTATGAATCTTCCAGCCTGGCAATGTACGGCTACCCTTAGTTTCCACCAGTCTCCTATTATATTTCTCCACGTGGCAATACCTGATGTTGACATCTCCTTTGCTACAGCTGTCTACTAGTCTTCCTAACTCTTTAGCCCTACTATAAATACCACTACTTGCCTTCTAACTTACTCAGCTCTTCTTCTATCTCCCTTGCCCAATACGCTTAATTAAAAACACTTTTTAATCCCCCAATATGGCTACAAATTACATTTCTGCCACTGTTTCTTCGATCTTATTGTTCCTATTGTGTTCTTCTTCTCTCTTCGGATCTTCCATGGCTGCTCTAGTTCAGGAACAACCTCTTGTTCTTAAATACCACAACGGTGCTCTTCTTAAAGGAACCGTCACCGTGAATCTCGTATGGTACGGTAAGTTTACCCCTGCCCAACGGTCTATAATAGTTGATTTCCTTCAATCGTTAAATTCCCCAAAAGCCCCAAATCCTTCAGCTGCTTCCTGGTGGAAAACTACTGAGAAATATAAAACTGGTGCCTCCACTGTTACCCTAGGAAAGCAAATTCTCGATGAAAATTGTTCGTTAGGAAAATCTCTTAAAAATTCACATATTGTGTATTTGGCTTCGAAGGGTGGTTACATGGGTAGGTCGGTGAACTTAGTGTTGACGGCGAAGGATGTATTTGTGGAAGGATTTTGTAGTAGATGCGGGTCCCATGGTTCAACTCGGGGTAAAGTCCGTTTTACTTACGCTTGGGTTGGTAACTCGGAGATTCAATGCGCCGGTCAGTGTGCGTGGCCGTTTCATCAGCCTATCTACGGCCCACAAACACCGCCTTTGGTTGCGCCGAACGGCGACGTCGGCGTTGACGGTATGATCATCAACGTGGCAACGGTTTTGGCGGGAACCGTAACGAATCCGTTTAACAATGGATACTTTCAGGGTCCTGCGACGGCACCGCTGGAGGCTGTTTCGGCTTGTACCGGTATGTTTGGGTCGGGTTCTTATCCTGGATATCCGGGTCAAACTTTGGTTGATAAGAGTACGGGTGCTAGCTATAATGCGCATGGGGTTAATGGGCGTAGGTTCTTGCTCCCTGCGATGTGGGACCCAACTAAATCTGCATGCTCGACACTAGTTTGAGAGTGAAAAAAAAATCAGAGGGAGATAAGAAGAACAGAAGAGGGTGGTGGGATTGGGTGTGGATGAGTCTACGTATGTCCACTGTACCATCATGATAAGATGGACTGAGGAATGGCAAGTGTGGGGGTGGGTGGGTGTCGTTTTGTATGACTGTATATTCCTTTGCTTTTATGTTTTTAAAAATTTGTAAAATCCAATAATTATAGGACTATAATTAATGATAATATGATCTATAATATTATTAGTGTTTGTATAAAATATGAATTTTAAAAAAAAGCTCCTTCTTCTTTTATTTCCTTTTTTATCTTGGTAAAAGAAAAGTTTGGTTTAGCAAAAATTTTGAATAGCTTCAATTAAAATGATAATTACTCATTAAATATAATAAGAGGTAAAGTATATCTAGTTACTAAAAAGATTATTAAACTATGAACAGTATCGATACTTTTAACTTTTGTTTCTTAGTTATTTTTCAAACTATTTTTATATTATTTTAAATAAATTAAAATTCAATACTTTACTTTTTTGAAATGGAAAATGGAGGGAGTAGTAATAATAATGGTGCAAATTAATTTGCAACTAAAATCTTTTACTCTCACTGTTTTATAATATTTGGTTTATTATTGATTTTGGCTAATTATAGATTGAAAAGTATATCAATCTTTTAATATTATAATAAAATTTTTAAAAATAATAAAAAATAACTATAATCGTTAGAAAGAACAAATTAAAATTAAGTATAAAATTATTATTTATGTCATAAAGAAGATAAATATTATTGGACGGAAGAATATTTTGTTAAATTGTCTGAGTTGGCGTATTATTAATTAAAATACTTTAAAATTAGTAATTACTCTTACCGGGGGGGGGGGGGTGGCAAAGCGTAGTCTGTTTTTAGGGGACTCACTCTGTATCAATATCTTCGGATAGAGATTAATTAGAGTAACAATTAGTCCATGACTTTTCAACTTTAAATTAGTTTTTAATTGTGTGTTTAATTTAATCTAAAATTTAAGTATATTCTTATAATAATAATAAGGTGGTGCATGCTTGCTTTTAACGAGGCATAATACATAAATATGCCTTTAACTTGACCTCGAATCCTATTTATGTCCTTTAACTTTAGGTGTGCACAAATAGACATTTAAATTTGTATAAAGTTGAACATATAGACACACATGTCCTACATGTTATTTTTTTATCCTACGTGATGTTTTATGTGTATTATGTCATATAGGACTCATGTGTTTATTTATTTAAAAGTTGGATAGTTAAAATTTCTATTTATATATTATAAAAGTTGAAGGTCAAAGTTAAAATTTGAAGCAAAGTTTAGGTTCAATAAATATATTATGCCTTTTAACAATTGCTGTTATTATCCAAAACAATCTTTTTTGTTGTTCCTTATCTAAGGGTTTTTCAGTCAACTATTGCAAGTTGTGTGATAGCCCCCATTTTGTAGTTTAGTAATTTCGCAAACTATCTTCACAATCATTATATAGACCATTTCCCACATGAATGCCAATAAATTCAAAAATAATATTACTCATTCTCAATTATTATGCAAATACAAATCAAACATTTTACATTAGAACAATTGAAATTAACATAGAAGTTATGTTAATAAATAAAATAAATTTATATTAGTTAAATTATCATTATCACGTGTTATGTATTTATAAGTGACGCGGTAAATAATTACTTCGTAAATTTGTTAGATGCAAAAATTATTATATAGATCACTCGATACTGATCACTCAATCAATCACACGATGAATTGTTTTTATTAAATATTTAAAATTTAAATTTGAATTTACAAGTTAATCATTTGATATATATACCCCTTTATTTAATAATATGTGGTAAAACTTGAGTCATATTCAATCAAAGTTGTAAAAAATATGATATGGTTTATATAATTAAACATATTTATGTACTTAATTAAATAGTATGACAAAATTAACGTCCCTAAAATGGAGTTATAAATTTAAGAAATTGTATGCTTATCTGGTGCTAGGCTGCAACTCTGAAGTAGTACAGATCACGTGCCAGTATAGACTACAGGGGTCACGTCTCACATTTGTTGATAAGGATAAGCTTGTCAAGCTAAATTACAAAATATTGTTTTAAATTTATATAAAAATTAAGAAATAAATATAATATATTGAGTAAATCTTTATCAATATATACTCCTAAATTTACAAATAAATTCATAAAATTAGAAAAAAAAATTAAATCATAATAATTATGCCTTCTAATATAGGGTTTTCCAATGTAAATTCAGTGGAAATACTAAATTGCATTAAAAATAAAAATGGCAATTATTAGAGGGGTCTCCATCTTTTCCACAATTTATTCTTAAAACCAAAGAAGACCTCGATCCGTGAGAGAATATTATTTTGTTCTTTTAATATTTGGGATAGATAAGGTAATACTTCAAAAGTAAAAGTCTTACGTACCTTTTAACACCCCCCTTGAAAAAATAAAATCAAAGAAATGGTTTACATAATGCTTTTAAAAATAAAAAATGTTTCTAAAAAGTTAAAACTTTGTGAAGGATCAGAGCATATTCCACAGTAACAAGTATTGCGTTAATAAAATAAAAATATCTCGAGTTTGAGCCTAGAAATAAAATAGTCTTTCATAGGGTTGAGGGGAGCTAGGATGCCGAAATGGATTCAGATGTAGCGATGAACCCCTTTATTAAAGTTAATTGTACGTATTTCTTTAATTTTGGATTTTGTTGGTGAAAAAAACTTGTTCTGCCACTAAAAATATTACTCCATATATCAAACCAAACAGAGTCAGTTCGCATTACTTGCGAAGATCTTATTTATTATATATATACAATCTTTAAGCATCAAGAGGTCCGTCCTATCTTAACACATACACTGTAGAATAGCCTTTCTGAGTTTCCATGTTTTGAGTGTCATATTACTATAAAATTGAATCTTCCCATACTATGCTTATACCTCTTCACACAGAGGCCAAACTGCGAATACTAGTGAAAGGGGAGTAAGATCGGTTTTCTAAAACCCAAACTTAGGACCCAGTCTTCTTTTCCTGAGGCGCTCCGCAATAATAAAGGCAAGTTCAAGTGCTTGAGAAGCATTGAGTCTTGGGTCACAATGTGTATGATAGCGCGAGCTCAGATCATTGTAAGTAATTGTCCGAGAACCTCCAACACACTCTGTTACATTCTGACCTGTCATCTCCAGATGCACACCACCAGGATAGCTACCTTCTTGATCGTGTACATCAAAGAATGCTCGAACCTCAGCCTACACAGATTTATGCAATCAACACATAAGCAAAAAGCGAAAAAATATTCACTAGGATAGTCTAGTTGGTAGGAATATAGCGCATAAGCTCACAATATTTCCTGTATTAGTAAAGGGTTTATTAGATCTTATCATCAACTACTTTCTTGCCGTATATTTACTTAGATCTTCTGCTATAGTTTCTTGAATACTTCAAGAGTTGAGATATACTTCCCTTGTATTGCCAAGGTAAGTGGATAAATCTTTGTGAAAAAATACAGCATAGCATACATACCACGAGAGCATAAAGCAAGTTCTTGTACAGGTATATAAAATAAGTAGAATAACATCAATACCCGAATAGAGTCGAATGAACGTGTTTTGAGTCCACAAGGGGCTTTAGTAGTATTTCCATGCATAGGATCACTGACCCAAGTGACAATTTGACCAGCTCCACGAATAGCCCTGATCAGATGGGGAAGCTTTACTCTCATGTTATCAGCTCCCATCCTGGCGATTACTGTAATCCTTCCTGGTCTATTTTGAGGGTTAAGAATGTCAATAAGCTTGACTAGTTCATTTGGATCCATTTTATGACTCACCTACAAATGTGGAAACAAAGTTAGCTTATATAGCATGTATCTCCATCAATCAGTCAACCAACTTTGTCGCAACTCCAAGCTAGTTAATATCGTGGAAAGTGGAAACTAAGAAAACTTAAAATCTGGTGATACGGTAATTGTTTTGTTAGGAAAATGAAGAGTTGGATACTATAACTGTACTTTGCATTTAAATTTTTTTAACTCTGGTCTGTATTTGCTTCCCTCCATCCCAATTTATACGAGTCAAATGCAGTCTATGGTTTATTC